TCGGTGGTAGTTACAGTCTCACTTTAGATTTCCTGGCTATAGTTGTCTATAAGCATAGAGTTTAGAGAAAATTGATGTTGTTGAATATAAAGTGAATAAAGAAAAAACTTACTTTAGCTGAACGTGGTATATTTTTCTTGTTTAATGTTTCATCAGACAAAATAATTTCTGAATCATGTTTTCGGTGGTAGTTACAGTCTCACTTTAGATTTCCTAGCTATAGTTGTCTATAAGCATAGAGTTTAGAGAAAATTGATGTTGTTGAATATAAAGTGAATAAAGAAAAAACTTACTTTAGCTGAACGTGGTATATTTTTCTTGTTTAATGTTTCATCAGACAAAATAATTTGTGAATCATTTTTTTTGTTCTTCTCAGTTTCTGTTGGATCATATTTGCGATTTGCACTCTTTATGACTGAGAGTCTGATCGAACATCTAAATCAAGGATTTTCACTGAGAAGAAATATTTTGAAATAAAAAGTTATCCGATTGTATTTTTTGTTATGTTTTCTCAAAAAATTATAACATGAACGATGTTTCAGCAATGAATATAACTTTTTCAATTGAAAAACATTTTATTCTTACTGCAGAAGATTTCGAGAATACGTAAGTACATAGCTCTAGATTCAGTGCCAATTACTAAGCACAGAGCATGCATCAAAACAAATGATAATAAGTATACACGCCACGGTGCAATAAGTCACTTCTACTTGTACTTAGAGAAGTGGTTTGTCACTTGTTGGAGCGATTTTCTCGGCATGCGTCACCTAGCGGTCGGTGTTGAAGTTCGTAAAAACAAGTTTTGGTATTTTTTATTTTCGTGTAAGAAAACTTCATTTTCTAGAGATCTCTAGATTTATATGGATTTCTATGGTTATTTGTTTCGATCGGTTTGAGTTTATTGTACACTTTATAAATTCATTTTAATCGGTAATTTTACATAGAGATACGAAGAAAAGATGAATAAAAATCGATTCTGCAGTTAAGTTTTGGCCTAAATTATTACTTAATTTGAAACAATCAAAATGAAGCGAACAAATTTAATTTTAAATCAGAATTAAACAAGGTCCACGAATACGGAAAATTTGTTTATAAATTATAGAAGGTTATCAAAAGATATCAGAACAATGTATAAATAGAGAAATCGGTTGTCATCATCTTCTATTAGCTTGAAATTTTAATCCGTACCATTTTTGCTTGAGTCCATAAAACACAAAATAATATCTGGGAAAAAAATTTACTTATTCAAATTCCACGATGTATTGAATTATATTTAGTGCAAATAGAATAAGTTAGTACAGCATTGTTGTTCATCTGACGTAAAAAACGTTTATGTAATATTTCAGATGATAATCAGAACAAAATTCAAGAATGATTCGTCAGAATGACGCTATTTATAATGTACAAAAAGATTATGAATGGGAAGAAGATTACAAACACAAAAATTGTGAGAATATATTTGGGAGCGAAATCAATTTTATCGGATACCAAAATACTGTGCATAGAAGTCACAAAGATTTGACGTGTCACAAAAGCGAAAAAAAATATGAACAAAAATCGATTCTGCTCGGACATCAAGAAATATTCCACAGAGTTTGATAAAATTACGCATGTAATATTTGCGAGAAAAAATTTGAACAAAAATGGATTATGCTTTGGTATCTAAAGACCGTCCATGAGGGTCGCAAAGATTACACTTGCGACAAGTGTCAGAAGGCATTCTCGCATCAGAGCAATTTAATGAGACACTTGATGACAGTGCACGAACGTCGTAAAGATTTTTCATGCGACAAGGGCGAAAAACAATTTGGATAAATATCAAATTTGCTCAGACACCAGAAAACAGTCCATGAAGGTCGCAAAGATTTTGCATGCAATAAGTGCCAGAAGACGTTTGTTTAGAGAAAAATCGAAATTGATCAGACACCAAAAGACATTACACGAAGGTCGCAAAGATTATGTATGTGACAAATGTGAAAGTAAATTTGGACAAAAAGTGCATTGATCAGACACCAAAAAACAATCCATGAAGGTCACAAAGATTTTGCATGCGACAAGTGCTAGACGGTATTTGGACATAAATGGACTTGACTCAGTCATCAAGAAATGATTTATTACGGTTGTAAAGGTTATCCAAGTGACGAGAGTAGAGAAACATTTGGATAAAAAGATTTCATTCCAAGAAAACTAGGAGGAATTCGCGACCGAATATTTTTTGTGATAGCTTAAAAGAATTTCCCCTTTTTGGTTTTTGGTGGTTGGTTGGATAGTTGGTTCATTTACATATGATTATGTATATAATTTTTACATTTGGATTAAATTTTAAAGCAGCTTTAAACGAAAATGAAAAATTTCGTGTGCGAATTTCCTCCTCAATAGCCCAACTCATTATTTTAATCTGGAATCGAACAACCTCCTCTTTTCTGCAGCTACCAAACTTTTCACACTTTAGATGCATTAACGATCTGTTACAAATGGATAAAAGTTTAACATGAAAGTAATGATATCATTCGATTTGAAATTATAGTAATAAACAGTTCATAAGTATAATATAAGTATAATAACCCGAAGATAAATTTCAACAGTATAACAACTGATCATTCTCTGACGACGAATGATTTATAATTTTTTGGCAACTTAGAACCGGAGCGCTATAGACACGTGCCACGCCGTGTGCTCATATTCTTTACATGATAGAATAAATTAATAAAAATCCTAATGAAGCAGATATCCTTGTGTTTTTAAGTATCGAAGTTGTTTTAAATTTTTTTTCATAAATGAAAAAATATTGAAATCTAAGCTTTTTTATTGTACAACAAACTTATGTATCCTTTATATTGTGCTGTTCTGCTAGATTTTAATACAAAGTGTCAAATGCCGAAGTTCCAAAAGGAAAAAATCGTAACTCGTAAGATTAAACGATATCAATGAGAGAACAACAGCAATATCTGTCACGTTTTTGTCGCATCATTCCTATGCCTCTAAAAATTTTAAAAATTCCTTGTTTTCTCAATTACGCAAATATTAACCCAAAAAGATTAGCTTCGATCAATAGGTAAATGGTTGCACTGCGTCTGATTTTATTGACGCATTCGCCAATCAGGCCCTACAGTGCCGGTTACGTCCTTAAGCGTTTCTGGATCACCACTTAGAACCTGGGGTACTTGGCCTTAATGACCACCCACATTAAGGAGAGAATATTTGACTGATTACGTTCTTAGCTTTCGGTTATGGGCTTCTGGTTTATCGAAGCTTTTGCCCTTGTACCGCCTCCTTCGGGTTGCTCGCTAAAGTCGACGCAGATATAGATTATACAGGATGTCACAAAAGTATGAAAACTTTTGAAAACGTCGCAGAGTAAACACAATAAAAACATCGAAAACTTCCTAACCGACGTATTTTCCAAAGAAAATTCCAATGGTGAAATTGAATTTACTTTAAATATATTCTTACAGCCATAAGGAATCACAACGACGGTGCTTGTGACGAAAAATTGAAAACGCTATGAAAAAATATATATTAGTAAAAAGACATGGAGAAAAGCACATCACATCGAAACGTCGTGAAGAAAAACACCTCATTAAAATACCGTGAAAAAAAACATTTCATAGAATCATGATTTAACAAATCGCATCGAAAATTTCATGGTGTTTCAAAGAGCTGTAGAGGAGGTGTACTTCTTTTTACAGCATTTTGATGTGATGTATTTTTTTTCATAAGCACCGGCGAAAAGTTGATTTTTCAAACAAAAATTCACATTTTCATTATAGATTAGAAAAGATCGTAATATGCATGTTTTATCATGCCTTTTGGAGTTTTAAGATCTCTTTAAAAATGTAACAGTTAAAAATAAAGATTTAATATTAGTTTAAATTTTCTTAAAGAAATCAAAATACACTTCGGTATACACTTGGTTGAATGATCAACACGCGGAAGACTTATTCATAGTCTCGTGATTTTTGTGATATAGGTATGACAAACAATATGGGATTCACAGAATGTATTTCGAATGAGCTAAAAGTACGAACTTATCTTTTAAAAATCAAATTTGACGATTTTTTGGAAATAGCTTTGTATTTTCATTGATTTTCCTATTGAATAAGCAAATAATACGTTAAAATAAATTTTTCGGAATTGTTTTTCAACTTCGGTATTTGCTTATTTAGTAACAGTGTCATATACAGTGAAACAGTGTTCTTGATTCAAATTTAGGTGGCAGATTTACTATATTGAATGAGATGATTCGAATGGTTTTCTAGAAAGTTTTATGGTGACCTTGATTCATATTTTCTAAAGGGCACTATCAGGCCGTTTCAAAAATAATTAGTAAAAGTTTCAAAAAACAGAATTGAAAATTTTATTTTTAAGGCGGCAATCTCGTCTAGCAGTGCCGAGCAAGTACTGGTAATTAAATTAAATCTATGTTTTTATAATTGTTTATACGCAATTTAGAACGTCAATCTGTAATAAAAGCTATTTATCTAGCTATCTAAATGGCTATATTTGAATTTCACAATAAATAAACAACTCCGGAAAAATAATGAAAATCGTCAAAAAGAATTGAAGAAACATATATAATTTCACATTCAAATTATGAGAAAAATGACTTACAAAAGCAGGTTTCAAGCAATTCTGATTGTTTACAAGTGGTATTACTACTTATTTAATGTATACTTTTTTTATGTATGTATGTTACCAACTGCAGATTCAATAAAAATTATTTAAATTTCAAACAATTCCCGTTTCCTACAAGTGGTACGATTTTGTATCCAAATAAATGCATTTTACCAACTGTAGAGTTATCATATCAATCATATTTAAATTGCCAGAAAAATATGTATTATTTTTTACGGTACAATAAAGTGTTTAGTCTGAATGCTCAAAATATTTCATAACTGACGAATATTTATTGCAATTAATATTATTGAAATAGCAAAAGATTCGATACTAACGAGCTCTACTCTATCTACACTCTGATATAAGCGCGATTATTACGAATTAGTTTGCAGACCGTGTAATTGATATCCATGTTTATTGCATCAATAGCGAGCACGACTTTTCATTCAATCGCGAATTAAAACTTAAAGGACGTAATTCTAGGTTTGACTTGTGCAAAGATAAGTGAAAATATCTTAGTGAACTGCAGGATAATAATACCGTGAGGGTTAATATCCTATTTTAATAACCTAAAAAAGTAGACTACAGGTATTTAAATTGTCATGCCTGTCACCGGTATCTTTCTTTGTATACAAAAAAACACATCAATATATCATAACCACTAATTGGGGAAAGATTTGAGACTTATAGATAAACATAAACAAATTAAACTTTTTTGTGATGATCAAATGCTAATAGTATAATTTAAACTTCATTAATTAAATTTTTGGGAAGGAGTATTATTATTGTTCAGTAACTTCAAAGCAAAGCTATGTCATCTAAATGAAAAAAAGAAAATCTGACTAACTTTATAAAATTATCATATTATTTAATTATATTAATAATTTAAGCAATAAATTTGTTTCAGATGTCTGCTATAACTTTTTCAAATTCTTATAGAAATTACATTATTTCTATAATTGGCTTGGCATGTGCAACAAAAGTATATCAACTTCTTTATAACAAATCTAAATCTAAACAAGCCAATGATGTAGAAACAACTGATCCAGAAATAGAAGAAGTTTTATTGTTTTCTGATGAGGCTATTGAATGTAGAAAACATATGTTTGAAGTTGAAGGCTGTGATTCGCCTCATTGTCCAGCAGATAATCTTGCGTAAGTAAATTGTTGATTATAGTATTTCAAATTTTAAATTTATTTGAATCTTATTTCAGTAAAATAGTTAACTACATGTCGTCTGCGAAGAAGTCAATTGATATTTGCGTTCACTTCATAACATGCAATAGCATAGGAAATGCTATTTTTGACACTATTAAAAGAGGTGTAATTGTTAGAGTAATCACAGATGAAGAAAGTTCAAAAAACTACTCAAGTTTGAGCATAAAATTTATGAGAGCAAGTATGTGTTAATGGATCACTTTTTTATCCTTAAAATCTGGAAAATTTCTTTTTTTATATGTCCTTGTTTTACAGATTGTGAAGTTAAAGCAAACAAATTTAAAGAAAACTTCATGCATCATAAATTTGCTGTCATCGATAAAAAAATTTTAATTTCTGGCAGTGCTAATTGGACAATGCAGGCTTTTTATGGAAATTATGAAAATGTAATCATAACTAATGACAAAGTAATGGTAAAAAGTTTTCTAACAGAATTCAATTACTTATGGGAGACATTACCTCAATTTCATATAAATTAGATTGCTACAAAATGTTTACTAATGTAAGTTTTCAATGTACATACTATTATGTAAACTATATTTTTATATCCTTTCCTATGAACAATTTATTTTATACTTAAGCGTTTTATAATGTAAAAAATGATTGCCATTACTAAGATTCCATGAACCTCATTTGATACTTAAATAGTCAATATAAGCTAATGATAATTGAAGGGAAGCTCCAATATTTTTTAATTTGTAACAAAATATTATCATTTCATTGTATTGAGTTCATTATTCTGATAATATTAATTGTTATGTAGTATAACAAGTAATTATGATTAATTAGAAAAAAACCATCATTTTCCATATTTTAAATAATTATTCAGATTATGGTCAAAATGAATAAAAATAATTATCAGCAACAATTAAATTTCTAATTTTTGTTTTTTATTTAATAAACAACATTTCATAAAATGAATTTTTAACCTTTTATGATGAAAACAATATTTTCAATATCTCATTTTGATAAATATAAATACTTAAAAATAATTTTTAACTTAAAAACAATTTTTGAAACTATTTCAGTTTCTATACATATTTTGAGTGAATAATGATTATATTACCAGCTACTTAATGTTTTTTTGATTTCGATTTTGATTTTGATTTTGATTTTCGACAATCTCGACAACTGCACTTTGACCGGCAAAAATCTTCATCTTCGGAATTTGATTTTGATTTTGATTTTGATTTTGATTTTGATTTTCGACAATCTCGACAACTGCACTTTGACCGGCAAAAATCTTCATCTTCGGAATCTCTTGTCGATTTACGACGACTTTGACGACTTTTCTTATGTAAATTATATTTACAATTTGCATCACTGGAAGAAACATCCGTAGATTCATTTGCACAGTGTCTATTTCCACAACACCTTGGTCGAGATCTGTCAAAGTTACTACCATGAGCTTTTTTAGATTGAGTGTGTCTGCGATCGCAACAAGAAGACATCGAGCTTTCATCGTTATAGAAATCGGTTGACGATACTTCACTCGTTGTGTACCCCGAAGATGATTGGGGTTCCTTCGGCATTCGACACTGACAGCATTTACAGGTCGAGTCATCGCTGCTGGATTCATATTGGCATTCGCAATCTGACGAGCAGGACTCGCTCGAGGATGATTCGGAGGAACTGCTCGAAGGACAGATGCATTTTTCACCTGTAAAAATAATGAGTGATGAACTGATTCTCATATTTCTGATTGTTTAATAAGTACTTACCACCACCCTTACTGCCTTTACTGCGGCGGCATTTTGCGGCCCCTTCGAATTGATCGCCTAGCTTGACGAGAGATATTAATTTTCTCGCAAAGGTCTCTTCTAGTGGTCGTCTACTTGTACTTTTCTTCGATTTTTTTTTCTTATGACACTTGTGTTTATAGTGTTTACAGCGTTTGAAGTGATCTTCGCAGCAATCCTCTTCTTCGTTTTTTCTACTCCGTCCTCGTGTACCATGTTCAGATTGTCGTTTCCACGATGACGAAGTACTCGGTTGATTTTTTTGATGCAGAGGCTCATTTTTTTCAGGCTTATTGGTCCCTATTTTATTAATTAATTTCATTAAAGTTTCATGACTAGCTGCTACTTAACAATAGTATTTAAAAATTTGATTTTTACCAGCTCTCTCGTGAATTTTACTGATGGATTCATCTTTTGGTAGCCCTGGTGTTTTTTTAATTTTTGAATTACTGTTACAATCATCAGTATCACTTTTGGTTTTGGCTTCTGAAAAATTAACAAATCAATTGAATTTTATACTTCAAAGCAATTTAATTATAAAATATTTGTTTCAATACCTTTTTGTACATCATTGCAAGATGTTGAACTAGCTTCTATGCTCTCGAGTGAAGATTCAGGTATCGTTTCCATACCAGTATTTTCTCGAGTCCGTTGACTGTTATACTATACAATTCTCAACTTTAGTCACCTTTTTTATAGCAAAATTGATTGAAAATGAAAAATAAAGGTATCACAACTTACAGCATTTTTTTTTCTTCTTGGTTCCGTAACTTTTTTAATTGCACCTGTCGAGGCGAGTGAGTTTGAACTGCTGTCACTGCCAACCGATAAACTTTTATCACTGCCATCCGATGAACTTTTTTCACTGCCATCCGATGAACTTTTTTTACTGCCAACCGATAAATTTTTATCAATGCCATCCGATGAACTTTTTTCACTGCCAACCGATAAACTTTTATCACTGCTATCCGATGAAGTTTTTTCACTGCCAACCGATAAACTTTTATCACTGCTATCCGATGAAATTTTTTCACCGCATAGGGAACTCAAATTAACTGCAATATGGCTCGGAATTGGACTAGTGTTTAGCAGTGAAACTAAAAAAGACCAATGAAAATAATAAGATTGTTGATCGAATTGTCAAAAAATCAAGTAAGAATAATCTTACCAACTGACTCGCATTTGTCTTCTTTTAAAGTTGAATGAAGTATTTTACCAGGATTTTCATCATTATTACTGACATCAGAAGATTGCTGTTCAGGAAGACTCTACAGTTTAAATAATTTATAAAATTATTAGTGGATATATATATTTATTGGTACAAAAAAAATAATATTGATAACTTACGTCACTTGATTTTGATTTGCTCCAAAGAAGGTTTGAAGATGAAATATCATAATTTTCATCGCTGGAAACTTTTACAAAACAACTTTTATATATTTTTTTTTTACATGACAGTAAATGTATTGATTTAATGATATTTTATGTACCTGATGTTTGAGCCTGATTAATTTTTTTAGGAGTAGTTTCATTCTCACTCTTAGGGCTTTTGGATTTTGTTATCTAAAATCAGAGAATTTTGATAAATTAATATTGTTGAATATACACTAAATAATAAAAAAAATTTACTTTGGCTGGTAGAGTTTTATTTTTCTTGTTCAATGTTTCAGCTGACGAAATCATTCCTGAATCAATTTTTTTGTTCTTCTCAGTTTCTTTTGGCTTAACATTGTCATCTAAACTAGTGCTAGGCAGTGGAACTAAAACAAACAATAAAAATGATGCAATTATTGGTCGAGTCGGCAAGATATCGAATAAGAACGATCTTACCATTGTCAACACTAGAAGCGATTATGTCATTTCTAAAAGTTGCATTGAGTACTCCAGCCACGTTTGAATTTTCATGATTATTACAGATTTCTGATGGTCGATGTTCAGGTTTTCTCTAAAAGTTGAAAAAATTATACAATTATTAGAACGTGAATGTATTGATATGAGAAAAATAATTTTGGTCACCTACGTTAATTTGTGTCGATTTTCTTCTAGTATTTTTGGTGATAACCCTGTCCCGATGTTCATCGCTGGAAACTTTTACAAAGCATTTTTTATATGTTTTCCGGTCATAATAAATTAAGAATATTGATTTCGTCATGTATTAAGTACCTGATGTTTGAAAGTGATCGATGTTTTCGGTGGTAGTTACAGTCTCACTTTTAGATTTTCTGGCTTTAGTTGTCTAAAAGCAGAGAGTTTAGATAAAAATGATGTTGTTGAATATAAAGTGAATAATGAAAAAACTTACTTTAGCTGATTGTGGTATATTTTTCTTGTTTAATGTTTCATCAGACAAAATAATTTGTGAATCATTTTTTTTGTTCTCTTCACTTTCTGTTGGATCGGATTGTCCCTTTGCACTTATTGTGCCTGAGAGTTGTGTTGAACCGAAATTTAATATCGTTCGACATGTTTCTCGGATTCGGGTATCTGCATCGGTTGAACATTCATTCGAAGCTTGACTATTTGTAACCGGGGGAGCTAAAAAAATTGATAAGATTATTGATCGAGTCGGTAAAAAATCGAACAGGCCTTGCTCTTACTATTTTCAACCTGAGAAGCGTTTTTGTCATCATTAGAAGTTGAATCAAGTATTTCATGAAGATTCACATTTTCTTCATTGTTGTTGATATCAGTAGATTGATTTTCAGTCACACTCTACAAAAAATTTATAAAATTATTAGTAAGTATAGTTGTGAGTGTTAAAACCATAATTTTGATCACTTACATGACTTTGGGTAGATTTCCTCCTCGTAATTTTTGGGTCGGTGATTTCTTGATTTTCATTGCTGAAAACTGTTAGAAAGCAAGTTTTATGTATTTTCACGTGGAACTAAGAGTATTGATTGAATGATATTTCAAGTGTACCTGATGTTAGAGAGCGACTGGTAGTTGCGTTATTATATTTAGATCTTTTGACTTTTGCCGACTAGAACCAGAGAATTTTATTAAAATTGATGTAACTGAATATGTAATGATGTATCAATGAAACTTACTTCAACTGGTAAAGTTTTATTTTTCTTGTTCAATGTTTCACTAGAAGAAACATTTTTTGAATCCATTTTTTGGCTCTTCGCAGTTTTTTTGGGCTCAACAGTTTGTTCCGTTTTCACTGTTTCAGGGGCTAAATTTTATAATAAGCAAGATAATGATTTTTATGAAGCTATTGAAATTTGAGTAAACTTATATGTATAAGTAGTCGATTTTTAAAATTCTTAATTTTTTGTGCATCTACTTTTAAAGTAGATAAAATAAAATATAACTTTTTTCATTAACCCTTTCAATGTAACGATTATTTCAAAACAAATTTTTTTTTCTTAATTAGCTCTACGATTTTACTTTAATAAATAATTGAGTTACCTTCATTTTGCTGTGATTGACTATCTTGACTGAAAGATATTTTATTCGAACGTTGTTGAGAAGCAGCTCCTTTATTTATTGCTGTGCCACCTTGAAATTGCAAAATTAATGGGCCTGCTCTGTGTCCCGAATGCGAAGCTTTTAGTGGTCCTGTTGCGACTGCATCGTCCTGAACTTCAAAACTCATTTGTTTGGTGTCCTTTCGAAGCAAGCAGCACTTTTGGCGACCTTAATTTCTTGTACGACTCCTGGAGAGGAAAACTTTTTACAATAGGTGATTGATAACTCGCCATAAGGATAATATTTTGTATGAAAATTGTACAAAAATATAGTTACTTTACTTGTTACCTGGACCGGGCTAGTTCCACACACTGAATGAAATTGTACGAATACTGCGACTCACTCACACGCGGCTAATGTTTACAATTTGATCGTCGCGTACACCATTTGTTTTGATTCGTGCTCTGTGTGTATGAATAGCCATTAGGTATGTAGCTATGTACTTACGTATTTTCGAAATCTGCTGTAGCGAGAATAAAATTTATTTCAATTGAAAAAGTTATACTCATCGCTAAAACATCGCTTATGTTATGATTTTTTTTTCAAACACAATGAAAAATACAATCGGATAACTTTTAAATTTAAAATATATCGTCTCGATGAAAATCATTCGAAACTGGTTTTAACTGATTGAGAAAATATGCCCGTCAACAACCTTGATCTAAACTTGAAGTTCAAGGTACGGTATAAAATACGCTTCGCACCCACGCGAACCGTATAATACTCGAATGGCAGTAAGCACAAAATTGCACGGCTCTAATATTCGAAAAAAGGAAGAAAAACCTGTTCGATAAAATGACAGTTTAATTTTTTTTTCTGCCTTCCTCGCTACAAATGCGCATCATTTGAACGTTATTACATGGAAATTAGCTATGAGCTCGTTCACTCGCGCGCGTTCCGTCCTTATAATAACGTGGTCGAGCAAACGAGTCCATCCACTCTCTCGATGCGTAAAAATGGGAAATTCAATCACGATGCGAGGTCCAGTTTTATTCGACTGGTCACACCCACGCTTTCGCGTGTATAGCTCGCGGCAGCAAGTGATAGCAATTCGAAACGAAAAAGAGCCGATGAGAAGTTCGAGGCTTATATAAAGCCAAGCTCAGTTACGAGAATTCCTCGGCTTGTGCAGTTCCATATTGTGCGCGACAATCAGAGCTGAAGTAAGCGTCAAAATAATCATGTTACAGGTACGCTTTTTTGATTATTTTCTTGTCATTGCTCGTTAAAGTTGAATAATTACTGAGTTTTTTGCTAATAATCGCGATGAAATAGCAACATTACATTCGGTGATTTATTTTAAATTCTTATATTGATAGTGCAAAACAATATGATATCAAACACTTTTTTTTTTAATTCACCAGTGGCCATTTTTTAATGAACAAGTGCGCGTTATTGATTAATTACCTTTTCAAATTTTCAGCTTTTTCTTCTCAGTTTTTGCATTTATAATGCACTTGGGAATCCGATTAAAACATTCGAAGTGATGCACGACGAAGCAAACGAAGCGGAAATAATCGAGGCGGTGCCTCGGCTGCCAGGCACGGTGAATCTTTTTGAAAAACGAATACCAGTGCTGCGTCTTTTTGTGCCGTATGAGAGGGAAAACGGACCGACGGGATCGAAAAATCTTCATGAACAGACACAAATACCCCATTATTACGGGCCACCGTCTCATGGCATTCGCAATTTCGAAGAGAAAGCTATACCCAACGCTGTTATCGCCCGATTGAACGCGGAGGGCTTTAAACATTATTCCGATGAAATCGATCATATATACGCTTGAAAAATTACATCTCGTAGTGAATGTAGGTGCATCTTTTGTATGCAGCAATTTTGCCGGAATTCGTCAATGTAATACTTTCTTTCGTGATGGGCGTTGGTAAATGGAACTGGCATGCGTTTTCTATGCGCTCCGACCATGATATTGTCATGAGCAAACTACTTTATCAACTGTTCGTTACCTACTTTCTCCTTTGCCATAAACAACCAGCAGTTGCTGGTTGATAGTCAACGGTGTTGTTTAGAACGGAAAATTTCGTGTATAAAATTACGTAAATTTGTGACGATTGATAAAATGTTTGAATGGGTATCATTACACGCATAAATTTTAAATAATTTGTAAAAAAAATATCAACCGCATGTGTATTGTGTTTATTGGCAACTGTATTTTTAATACATGGTATAATAACGAAATTGATAGCAAAACATATTTGTAATTTATTTCTTGTATTTTAATCAATATTTATTGATATGCGAGAGATATAAAAACCATTGTATCGTATGCATGGAATTATTTAAATAGACTGTATTCATAATAAAAGTAAACGAAATGTTGGCACGTTTTTTTTCCTGATTTAATATTAAAATAAAAAGTTTTTATGGTACTTGCCGTATTTTAATTTAAAGGCAAAAAAAAATTTTTATCAAATGACAATATTTATATTATATTTAAAAAATTGTTCACTTTACTAGGATATTACACAGGTAAATGTATTAAAATGGCAGAGGAAAACAAAGAAAGTCGAAAGTGTAGATCAATACTATCAGAATGCAAGCAGGTGCATAGAGAGCCAAATAACTTACGTCTCTATTTGCTGTATAAACATGAAATAATATGAAGTAGTATAAGGGGGCGTGCGCATTTATTCGGAGGCAAAGCTTTTACATGAACTCCATTTGCAGCGATTTACAGATCCGCGCCTCTGTTTGACTTTTGCATTTCCAATGACAGCGCATGAATTTATACGCTCCGGCTGTTTCAACCGGATCGGGGACTTATTAAATTTATTGATTTTGTGTATTTGTCTTTGAAAATAATGGAGATTAGACGAAAATGTTGATCCTATCCGTTATTCTCGCCGTGGAGTAAAAGCTTCGAAATTGAAATTTTGCAATTTTCTACAAATACATCAGGATCGAATTATCGAGGCGAAAAAATCTTTCATGATTTTTGCGAAAATCAATTTCATTTTTATCACTGCATTTGTACATTTAGGACTGGATAATCATTTAATAAGTTGTCCGTTCATTGAGTGGGCTAATTATTTTTCGGCATCAAAGGCAACGTGGCAAGTTGAAAAGCCTGTGTGTATAATAAACGTACATACGCCGGGCCCATCTTTAGCCACGCAATTATACGCGAGGAATAATGTATACAACCCCGGTCGAGCTCGTTCGTTGCCGACTCGTGTGTATACGTACTATTCATACGTGTGCGTTTGTGTGTGTGTATGTGTACGTGTGTGAGTTGTACATGTATGTGCGCTGCGTGTACGTGTACACCTTATCGTCTTGCTGAAAACCGCGCGAGAGTCAGAGCGGTCAGAATATCGCGGTATCTTATCCATCACTGCCAACTAAAGCCTGACGTTGATCTATCTTACGCTCTCAAAGGTACTTCTATTATATAATATACGTGTGTATATATGTATATAGGAGCTAATGTATACGTACACGTACATATACACGTTCCACGCGCAGGTATTTGCACGCACGTACACACATAAACTATTATTATATGTACGATCTAAAATTAGAATTTCACTTGTCGCTAGGAAAGACATAATTGGGTGCTGCTGCTGATTATCGAGAGTCCCGCATATACATGTATATATACAAAGCGCTGCGAGTAAACAATCAACGCACAGCGTGACCGAATGCGATAACGTTTCGAACTTTTCTCTCGTTTTTTTTCCAGTGCGTGCATTTTTATTTATCAATTTCGCTGCAGCCCGCGCGAATGTACAGATAACGCGATCTGAAATTGATTCAATTTTTTTCATCATTATTATTATTATCATTTTATTTTGTGCTCGAATCGAATCTCCGGTATCATGTTTACGTCCATTCGAAAGTAGTTGCGGGAAAACTTCGAGGCATTAATTTAACGTTTATGAAGCTAGTCTAAGTTTATAATAATACAATCTTGGCGAAGATATAGCGAGTGAGTGAGCGAGAAAGAGAGAGAGAGAGAGAGAGAGAGAGAGAGAGAGAGAGTAAAGTTGAGAGCGTGTGTCACGCAATAACGCAGTCAAGGGGAAGGGGCTCGCTGAAAATTTATATGCTTTAGGGATTGTTGTATAATGGAGAGCAAAAGGGTTGGAGGCTTGATTCGCTTCGAATACGTATACGTATCCTGAGTACAACATACGTATGCGTGTATTAAGTATATGTATACACTCTCTGTATGTATATAGTACAGCAGGCGAACATGTGATATAGAGAGCGGATACACAGCTTGGCTCGGAACTAATCGATCGTGGCGCCTTAATTTTGGCAATAGAGCTCTACGCGCGCGCTACTTCATGGAAACTAACTGCAACAATTATTATGGAAATCCGAAACTGCTCGAGAGAGAGAGAGAGAGAGAGAGAGAGAGAGAGAGAGGAAGAGAGAGTGCAGCCATAGCTGAGAGAGTGATAGAGGGTGAGAGAGAAAGCACATCATCTGAATAGAAATTTATACATGGCAATAATACCGGAGCAATAATACCGATTATAATGACACGACTGCTAACGGTGTAGAATTTTACACTCGCCTATTAAGCTTTAATGACTGCGGGCCGTGATTTTTAAAGGATGATTATTTTTTATTTTTTTCCCCCGCTTTGCTTTTTTTTGTTAAAGCGGGAGGATGATATTAAGCTCGACAATGATAACTCAGCAAGCCGAAATGATTATTCTCGCTGCACGTCCTATTAAAAAAGTATTCGTGTGAAAAAGTCGTGTCTCTTTTATTTTTATTTATTATTATATACGTGTCGCACAGACACGTTACGTATGACGCATTTATATTTCGGTGTGAAATTATTACAAGTAAGACCAGACACTTCTTTTTCTTTCTCTCTCTCTCTCTCTCTCTCGCGCGTCCAGTAAATGCAAAGCAGCGAAAAATTTCTGACTAAAGGGCCTCGCGAGAGAGAGAGAGAAAGAGAAAGAAAGAGAGAGAGAGAGTAAAGAAGAGAGAAAGGATAGACTTCCTTTTTATACACACCGCTGCTTTTGTAATTTATCGTCCGGAACGCTCGCGAGCGTATCGCTGGGAGGGAGGATGAGAGCTGCGCAGGAGAGGGTAGCTCTGCGAGTGCGACAATTAATTATTCAGTCGTCCGCGCTCGCACACGACTGTGTACTGTCTCTTTTTTCTCTTTATTTTGTTTTCTCTCAATGCCAGAGCCCTCTGCTCCGCCACGTACATGCATATTATAGGAATGTGTACGTGCAAGTACGCACACGTTTCTATCTCAGTGTTTGTATGTGTATGTCCACCTCGGCACTTGCTATCTCTTTATAATGCTTTTTCGCGCTTTTACGTTTTACCTGCCCGTTATATATATACAGCAAATTCCACTGTTACTTGTCCACCTTGGCCACGCGCGCGCATTTCTACGAATGTCCGCGTGCTCCACACTCGAGTCCTTTACTTTTATTTCAGGATCTTGCGTACAACGTCGCGCGCGGGACACTTAATCCAAACTGCAGTGCCATTAATTTAGTTTCCAAAAATGCCTTTATCGCTCGTATTGTTTTTAATCCGTCTCACCGGCGTATGAATATTTATCAACGTTAGATGCAGATGCGATACGAAGTGAGTTTTGCATATTTTCGCTTCTGGCGCTCGGCCGCGAGAAGTCAATCTGCGTCGTGGCGCTTCATTCTTGAAAATAGGACAGTAACAATTTTCGGTGCATCGAAGTATTGATTATTATTTATAGTCACACAAAGAAGAAGTAAAACGCATATAATGAGCGATGGGATATAGAATAATGAAAAAGTGATGTTCAGATATAACCTCATCCATCATCTCGCTCTTTTTCTCTCACTCACTCTTTCTCTTTCCCTCTAGGTATCGTGCGAAGAATAGTTTTGACAAATTTGATTGAAACTGCCCGTGGCTCAGTCGTATTTCGCTGAGGGGAAAAATGAAAAAAAAAGAAGAAGAAGGAAAACGGGCTGAAGAAATGGCTATACATATCTGGAGGATAGCTGCTGCGCGCTATATAGGATCTTATTAATGTTACGAGCGAGAGAATAGAGATACGAGAAAACGAGGGGGGGTTTGTATATACACCAACACCCACACGCTTAGCCGCACCTAGAGAGCCTGTGTGTATTACTGCTCTCTTTTCTAGTGCTCTCGCGTTATCAAGCGCACTAGAAACATTTTTCACGATCTAACCGGCGAATGGGGGCATTAAATTTCACCCTTGATTATGAGAATGAGTTACACTTGCAGCTGTAAATGTATTTTGCAATATTGCTTTTATTTATCTATGCTGCGAACAGAATTATTTTCTCGCCCAGTGGACTCTGCGCGTCGCGATCGTAATAGAGCGAGTCATTATTAAATATCTTATTTACTTACACACGAGCTCCGTTTTAACGAAGCATATGTGCGCCACATTAGCAGCTTTACTATAAAATTAATTGGAGCGGGTCAATTTATTGTTCAAACAGCGTAGGACTCGGTGTTTTCATAGCCTATGATTTCTTCGACAAATACTTGAAATCAAATAAAACATGATTTTTCATGATGAATATAACTTCGATTTCGCACGCGCTTCCTGTACATACGTATATCTATACACGTATATATACATCCGCGATATTTGGAGTGTGTGTACTTTTGCTGCGACACGAAATATGTATGTTTGACTAGTATTATCCGATCGTTGGAAAAACTCGGCGTCCAGTGGATCCGCGTATATATAGGTAGATATACGGTGGTGTAGCTCTCCTCCGAGCGCGAGTCAGATAAAGTCGCACGGATGGTAGAATTGCAAATGGAAATGGATGCGAATGAGAAAACAGAGGAGGCTGCACTGCTGCTGCTGCGGAACTTTGCAAACACACGCGAGCGTGTAAAATTTGAGTTCGAGAAAAAGAGAAAGAGAGAAAGCCGGGGCGGAAAAAAGGAGTACTTTTCGAATAAAGTTACGAAAAGAAAGGTTGACTCTGGCACTCTCGAGTTTCAGCACAAGAGAAAAAATCTCGCACGCGTTACACACGTTTGTGCGGTGAAAATGTGCGTACCATATATAATAGAGTGATTTTTATCGATGCATCTTATGAGCTGTGATTCTGGTGTAATAACGAGCCCGCTTCCGGCCATCGGATTGCCTTGAGTGAGAGAGAGAGAGCTGAAATTTCGATAAATGTTTTGCGAGTACACCTGAAAAGTCAAATATTAAAGGAGAGACGGATATTGTCCGATAATCAGGATACTTATGTCTAATAAATAAATATCGAAAATTCTTTACACGAAAAGCACTCGGTTAAATTGAAATGCCGTTATCAACGAATGCAGCTCGTCGAAAACGCGGCATC